AGACAGATGGTTTGAGAGAGGGGTAAAAGAAGCCATTTTTGTCAACCTGGAAAGACCATCACTCAACAGAGGAGGTGGACTCAGACACAACCTATCACCCACATACAAAGCACTTTTAGGAACAATACCCAAAAGTTTCACCCCAGTTTCACACAACAAAGAGCCAGGTGACCGAAATCGTTCTGATAGGGACCACAATGACCCATCAGACTCTTAACGACTGTTTACACTTTCACAGTTGACCCCAAGGCCCCACCCAACAGGGTGGAGCTGAAGTAGCTTTATTCTTTCTCACCTAGAGTATATATTTGCTGTACTCCCCACCACCAGTTAGAACTGAAGAAGCCTCTTGGATGAGAGGTGAAACGTCTTCTTTTAGAAAATCCACGTCCAGTTGCCTAACAGAACTTTTTAAACAAGTTGTAGTATATTTTCTATTGTAGCAGAAATAAGCAGAGGCGTTTAGCAAGCCAGTACATAAAATTGTTCCTTTTATATTTTATCTTAGTTAAATGTAACTTAAATTTGTGTAATTTCAGCCTTATGTGATCATTTATGTGGTTACTTGCTATAACCGCAATGCAGGTACATTAGTATAACACTAGGTAGCGTACAATATTTTTTAAATCCTGCAGAATAGGACGTCAGTGTTGCTTCCGGAGAACAAACCCATGATAAGCCACCAGAGGGCAGCAAATATTCAACATGCATTGCAGAGATCACTACATCTCACTTTTAGAATCTAATTTATTTTCCAAAACATATTTTACTTACACTCCAATAAACAAATATAACCAGGTAAGTATACTTGCTGTAGTTCTTTAAAGTGACATTTGACCACAGGTTGTTGAACAGCTACATAATATGTATGTCTGTTAAATGAATCCTAACCTAAGGTCATTAGAATCATTTATTTGAATGTTAGCACAAATGATAATGCCACACACATACACAGATCACACGCACATAGCACGTGTACAAACATATGTAGGATCTCTGAACTACTTTATGCAAATTCCCCTTTTTTTGGATAACATCATTATGGGCATGGCATTGAGCCATTTAAATTTTCTTTCACAACAACACTGCATTTTGACATGGATACACAAGTTTAACCAACACACAAGAGTTAGCAGGAACAACATTGTAGTATGTGTAATACATTTGTACAAAAGGTATACACAAACAATACATTATAGTATGTACTTTGTCTCTTATGTGGCAGGCACACATGCGCACACCAACACACACACAGACACACAATCATCTCTTTTAGAGATACTACATCAGTTTCAGAGCCATTTCTATCACATACTGCAGACACAGTCATCATACTCAAGGACAGGAGAAACTATGTACAGGGTTTATCTCAAAATATTGCACTTATTGGCCCATTGCATCTCACAGTTAGCTGCTGTGACGATGCTTCTAGAATTTGTAACATGGATTGATATATAAATGCACTTATTGTTATTATATAAACCTCCACATATTAGTCAGGACTGGCTTCATGCAATTTTTTTAGCATTTATTAAACTATGCAACCAACCAATGACAATAAAGTAATTGTAATGTTTTGGCACTAACGTATATGTTTTTTAAATTATTCTATTTATTGTTAAGTTATGATACTGATATTGTAAATGATCTGTATATAACTGCTTTTATAGCCTTATGTTAAAATCTACAGGAAGTGTTAAGTAGTTTCTAACATTTTTAGAGAGTAATTGTATTGCAAAAATGTACAATTCTAAATTAGGTTTAGATTTTATTTGTTTTTATTTGATAATTTATGGCTGTTTGTTCCATGTCAGTAACTGATTAGAATATGGAACACTGTTCTGGGTCTTGACAGTGCTGTAGATATAATCCAGAAATTTTTGGAAGCTTTAGGTAAATAAAAAAGCACACAAACCTTTTTGGTAGCATGCTTTTAGCATTAAACTATGTTGAGACTTGTTAAAGGTTTTGTACATAGAAAGAGTCACTTCACTAGGTATAACACATCTACTTCAATTAAATCATCAACAAGTAATTACATGAACATTACCATAGTGGGTTCATTCCAAAAGTAACAAACTAACATGGGGTCTTATGGCCAAGTTGAAGATGCAAAAGGCCACTTTTTTCATTCAAGGTAGATGACTAAGTTTCACTCATTTGCAACTCAAACACATTTTTCGGACTCATGCAAACCTGTACTCACTCACCAAATCCACACATTCCTTCCACAAAACCAACCGGCTACATCCTATAGTGCACTAAGCTTTGAAAAAAGAAAAAAAACATTAGAAAAAGAAAAGAAAACATTCAAAGACTAATTGATTATATCCTGTATTTTGTAAATATTCTGATTCTTATAGTTTGTATTACATTATATAGTTTGTATACAATACATTGTATTTGTAGACTAAGACCATACTAAGCCATAGTGACATTCTATTTATTCTCTTTATTCTAAATATTTTTTAATATCACATATTTTGCAGTAGCATTTCTGTCTGTATGGCGACTTGCTCTGGATAGTAAGAGATAATATTGAAAGATAACATGGCAGAACTTTGTGAATCTACTACTAAACATGGTTTGAGAAAGCAGCATCAGCAGGAGTATTAATGCTGAGGGAGATTAAAACTGCACACTAGCATCTTACTAGGACCTGTGTCACATCCCCTGCCCCTCCTGGTTTCCTGACATTGGTTACTAACAGTTGCATCCTTGCTGCTGGAGGGGCAGAGCAGTGTCTGTGAGTTTGGCAGTGGGTGCTCCTGTGGTGACAGCTGGATCGATGTCTAAGCTCTCGGACATCTTGTCACAAATTAGGTCAACAAGACGTTCAAAGGTCTGTTTGACGTTGATGTTATCCTTGGCACTTGTCTCAAAGAATTCAAAGCCTTTGGAAGAAAAATAATCAGAGTGAGAAACACTGGTAATTCTGAGATATTACAATTTTGTACTAAAATTACCACCAAGTAAAATTGGGTGTTTTATACAATAAAGCAAGATGAAAACATTGGTTTTCATATAATTAACTTTAGTATGCAGTGTGTCTTAACACTGTATATCCTTGCTCTCCCACATGGGGGCGAGATTTGCCATTTCCAATTGCCCCATTTAACCCTCCTGTTGTCCTCATATTCTGTATACACCCCATGTCCTGTTTTTAACACAGTCGTGGGTCATTCTGACCAGAGGACAACAGGAGGGTTACCGTATTTTCCGGATCATAAGGCGCACTTAGAAGCCTTTAATTTTCTTAAAAAATCGACAGTGCGTCTTATAACCCGGTGCGCCTTATGTATTACTTATAATGTATTTGTTAAAGCCAAACCACACCGTGCATCACACATGATGGCACACAACTGAAGTACACTATAAGCCAACGATGACATTTAACTCTGTTATCACAATTAGAAGATGCTCAACAACAATTGTTAAAGTATGGTTGTGTTACCCAAATCCGCGCAACGTCGTGGCGTGCTTCACAACACCTGGAGACGGAGTTGTGTTTTTGTGAGACGCAGGACGACTCAGACGCATGGCTGTCGATTTTTTCGTGGTAAAGAACTCTTTTTATTTCTCTTTTTAACGATACAGGCAAAACACATACTCTCTCTGCAAAACAACATCCGCACTTCCGCACAGAACAGCGTCAAAACAATAATACGGTGATCATCCAGAACAAAAATAGTGACAACCACCTGACTCTGGAGGGGCGAACGGCAACAGCGCCCTCCAGTGTTCAACTTAGGCAACTGCCCTTTTCTACAAATCTCCATCCCTATTAGTGATGGGAAGACCGACTCTTTTTGTTGATTCGAATCTTTGACTCTCGAACAGTAAAAGGAACGAGTCGTGAACGAATCTTGAACTAATCATTTCATTCGTTTTACAGCAGGTGGCGCTTTAGCCCTATTCTGGGCGTTGTAAAGAAGGCTGCGGTTCTCCGACACTAAATACTGAAGGCAACATGGTTTGCTTCCGCTGACAAAGTCTACAAAGTACACAAAATGCCATAAGCAATTAAAACCATGCGAAAAGTTAAGAAATAAAAACACACCACAATGTGAAGATGAACGAGAGCAAAAAAGACCCGAGCTCTTTCGCGTGACAAATGAAACGAATCTGCGAGAACGAAGCAAAAGATTAGTTCACAGAGAATGATTCGTTCACAGCGAAAGATTAGTTCACGGCGAATGATTCGTTTGCAATGAATGATTAGTTCACAGTGAAAGATTAGTTCACAGAGAATGATTCGTTCACAGCGAAAGATTAGTTCACGGCTAAAGATTAGTTCACAGAGAATGATCCGTTCATAGTGATTAGTTCACGGCGAAAGATTAGTTCACGGCTAAAGATTAGTTCACAGAGAATGATCCGTTCATAGTGATTAGTTCACGGCGAAAGATTAGTTCACAGTGAAAGATTAGTTCACAGCGAAAGATTAGTTCACAGCGAAAGATTAGTTCACAGAGAATGATCCGTTCATAGTGATTAGTTCACGGCGAAAGATTAGTTCACAGAGAATGATCCGTTCATAGTGATTAGTTCACGGCGAATGATTCGTTTGCAATGAATGATTAGTTCACAGTGAAAGATTAGTTCACAGAGAATGATCCGTTCATAGTGATTAGTTCACGGCGAAAGATTAGTTCACAGTGAAAGATTTGTTCGCAGAGAGTGATTTGTTCTCAGCGAGTGATTCGAGTGATTCGTTTTGTTTCTGTGCAAGTATACTGGAAAACCACGCAAAATGATAATCCCCTTAAGCTCACATGATTAAGAGAGGAGCTGGCTGTCAGTGTCAGCTGGCAGTGCACTTATGATTTCAGTTTTGGCTCTAATTATTGCTTTATAATTGTAATATTATAACTGGGTTGAAACCAACCTTAACAACACAAAGGTCATAATTTCAACCAGAGCATTTTATAATTTGGTGAAAAGATTTGTCTCGTTTTATTTTGTTGAAATAGAGGTTCCTGACAAAGCCTTGATGCAATAAACAAATTTATGTGATTCTTTTATGCATTTAGAATTTAAAACGGGTCGAGCCTAACATAAGAGGAAGGTTAAAAATGGGTTGAAGGATGTGCAGCAGATAAGGTTGATTAAGGACAGAGAGGGGAATGTAATCACAAGTGAGGAAAGTGTGCTGAGAAGATGGAAGGAATACTTTGAGGAGTTGTTGAATGAGGAAAATGAAAGGGAAAGTAGAAACGAGGAATCAGAGACTATTAGGAAGAAGGTAGATCAGATTAGAAACGATGAAGTTAGAAAAGCCCTGAAGAGGATGAAGAGTAGAAAGTCAGTTGGCCCCGATGACATACCAGTGGAAGTATGGAAGTGCTTAGGAGAAGTGGCGGTAGATTTTCTGACTGGGTTGTTCAACAAAATTTTAGAGACTGACAAGATTCTTGATGAGTGGAGGAAAAGTGTTCTGGTGCCAATTTATAAGAAGGGTGATGCGCAGAGTTGTAACAACTACAGAGGGATAGAATTGATGAGCCATACAATGAAGATTTGGG